CCCCGCCGGGGTGCCCCGTGCGCCCCACCCCAGGCGCCTGTCCAGGTCCCTGCTGTGCAGGGCGGGGAGGGAAGATGCTCCGAGCGCCTGCAGCTATTCAGTTACCCGTGGTTGCGTTTGAAGAGCTTCCCTATCGCCCTCTTGTTAAAGCTTTGGCTTCCCCCCCATAGCCTCAACAGATGAAATCAAAGGGAAGTAGCTTTGCTTGGTGTAACCTGTTTTGATGGAGCAGATAAACGGGGAACAAGTGTCTGACACAAACAAACAGGCAGACGGAGGCAAGCCCCACCTCAGCGTTTTGTTGCATCAGATACCGAGGGCTTAGATGAACCACAAGAAGGGGGAGGTCTCTGCCTCTCGGCTGCAAGACCAGGGGCCACACTCTGCAGTGCCAAGCCCCCACAGTTCCCATAAAAAAAAGAAAAAAAATCACCCCAGAACTTGCTGGCATGGCTTTCATCAGTTTAAAAAGATGAAAAGAGCTCACAGCCAAGCACTGAACTCACGCTTGTCATTACCCCCCATGGAGGCAGCGGGACGGCCGGGCCACGTCCTCGCGCGTCCCCGCTGCCCCCTCCCTCGCCTGCCGCGGGAAGAGAGGCAGAGCCGAGGAAGGCACCAGATGCACGGGACTGCATGCGGGGCGATCTCTCTCTTTGTTTCAATAATAGCTTTTTCTCAAATGGCAAAATTTCACTGCAGCTAGGAGACATGGAGGGGGGGAAAAAAAAAACAAAATATGTTTGCTGGAGAAGATGTTACCAAAAGTTTTGAAATGTTTCCTGTGAAATAGGTGTGGAGAAGAAAGAAAAAGCAAGCCTAGCTTTCCTAACCACCTATGAAAGATGGAAAACATTGACAATTTAAAAAGAAAAACCAGAAAAGAATAAAACAGTGAAAAGAGCGGAAAAAGCAAAAAGAGGAAAAAGGGGAGGGGAGAAATGGGAGAGAAAGAAGGGGAGGGAGAAAGGAAAAAGATTATTTTAAACACTTGCAAAGTAAAACAATGCCCCAAATTACCCCTTTTGCCTGTAAGCCTAGAACTGGCAGAGAAATGAAAGGCTGAGATTATGGTTCTGCTAATGACACTTCCCATCAGATCTTTAGGCATCAGTTTTAGATCAAGGCTTGGTTTATAAAAGCCTCTTGGCACCTAACTTTCTCAAGTGTTTTTTTTTTTTAAACACTCTTCTTGGAGCCAGTCTGCATCTTTTGGTGATCAAAGGCCTTTGTAAATCTGCACCTAGAAATATTTCCATTTGTCGTAAGTTGGAATATTGGCAGTTCGGTAACTGCCCTGTCCTCTTGAGGGGACCAGAACGCCGGGCAGCTGTTTGCATTGGACCAGGTCATTAGGAAATGGGTCTTCAGTTAATGAGTCATTGGAAAACAAATTTTCCCACATGAAGCTGGTAAACAAAACACCTAACTATTAGGCGTTGCAGTAAATATTCCTCTAACAAAGCGTATCAGGGGAAATAAAAACTTTCAGGGAAGTTCAGCACAAAGTGCTTTGTTGTTTATAAACAGAATGGTCGGAAAGAGGAAAAAAAAAATAAAGACAAGGATTTGTCGCGGTTTTAGGTAAAGCATCGAGGCAGCCCCTCAGTGGGCCTAGCTGCTTGCGACTGTCGGTAGGGCTGATCTGGAGAAGCGTCACCGCTCCCCAGATGTTTGCGCTACCTGCAACACCACGTGTTCAGGTGAGGATATGATCCTGCTGTGAGCCCTGCAAGGCAGCCGGTCACCCCGAGGAGAGGTGGTGAGCGGGTGCTGGAGAGGACGCCCAAGTCCCACAAGAAGCTGCTAACTCACCGCAGTGTCTGTCATCACAGCTAACCTCTAACGTGGTGATTTCTGAAGATCCTGAACACATCAACCTCTTACGGGAATTGTGTTGAAAACAGAACAATTTAAACAGGTTCCTTGTATCAGGCTGCAGGGAAGCGTCACTCTTTTGTAACCGAAGGAGATTTACTTGTTCTGATTTCCCTGCTTGATTTGAAGGCTGGTAGAGCAGAGCTAATCCTGTGGCAAATATTTTTCTTATTTTAAAACAAACTAACTTCACTTCTCTGCATTCTCTTCTCAGTTTCCACCAGAAAGAGGTGCTACAGCTAACACTAGGGGCTATCTAGGATGCTTTTAGTGAAAAGCCTGTTTTATCCAGTCGGCTGTGATGCCAGCTCGCTGTCTATTTAACCCTGTTGACCACAACATTGGCAGAGAGTCTCCCACTGCTTTTAGTAAAATCCAGTACCAAAACCAAACCAAAAATCTTAACTCAAGCAGGCCAGCCTTTCCTAACCTTGAATCAACTATGCTATCCATCAGCTCTGTGTGCCAAGACACGTGGCACATTTCAGGGGAACTGGACTCCCATTTGAGGCCCTGTAGCAAGAACCAGGGTTTGTAAAGGAGCTCAGGAAGCTGGGGACATGGTTGTTGCTAGGCAGCTTTGAGACCCTTATCTCAAAAACTAGCTCGGGATCGAATGAAAGCCAGGAGCAGCAGTCTGACCTTACCAAAGTCAGTAGGAGTTCATGGCCATGAATAGAACCAGATTTTATCTTTGCCTTAGATTATGTCAGATAACCCGACTTAGTAACAGAGAGCACAGAAGATTTCTAGTCCTCCATGTATGGTGTAAATAAAGGGGCAGTTTGAGTCCCATTACAACGCACCTGCGGTTCCCTGGCTTTACTGAGACCTCATTTTTTTCTAATTCCTTTCAAATGACACAAGCAAAAGAGAAACGGTAAGATCATTATATTAAAGCTTTAATCTGCCGTTCCACGCTCCCCCCCGCCACCGCCTGAATTTAGGGTTCCTTATTACTCAAACAGCAATGATTTTTTGGCCGTTTCTCTGAGAGTTTTAGGTTTGGGAGGTCTTTATTTCTAAGTCTGTGGATGAGTCTCGCATCTTCAGACAATCTGCATTTGTTACAAAAGTAACTAACAAGCGCTAAAAATGTTTGTTTTTCTTCCTGCTGTTTATTTGCTGAAAAATGAATCTGACCGCAAGTTTTTGGGCTGTTGCGCCCAAAAACTTCGTTTGTTCTCGGAGCCCGCTGCGGGCAGCGGCTGTCAGAAGCCATACGAATGCTGCTGCTTGCGGTGTGTACGGCACCCTGTGGCACTGCTGGACTCGGTGGGTAAGCGGGCAGGAGTCGACGCTAACGCCAGGGCTGTGCCTTCAGAGGAACACCCTGTTCTTCAGCTTTCCGTATTCAAGGAAAACTGGGGCTTCTAACCGCAGCGCAGCGAGAGCCTCAGCAGCTGTCGGGTAGGTGTAGCGGCGATGGGAAACCCATTCAGGTTTTAAGATGAAGACTGATATGTTTTTGCTGGAATTACCTAGCTGGATTCGATTATTCCAGAATTCCCTCCCAATTCCATGTTTGTACACATGTGTGACCAAAAAGGCAGAGTCTCTGTGAGTTTTGTCTAAGGAAGCATTGCTGACATGAACCCTGCATTCAGTGAAGAGCTGCTTGTGCTAAACTGAGCGGACCAAGAATACTTCAGTGGCATTATTCATTTGGCAAGACTCGAGCTTATTTCCATCCATAACTGCCGAGGACATTAATGAGACATGAATTCATTCAATGATTCATTCACTGCTGTTACAGAGGGATCTTGCACGCTGATCAAGCTACGAAGGCACTCCTAGCCCAGAGTGCATTCTTGATCAACTCCCAAGCCGGCTGGAAGAGCGCAGGGTAGCAGCAGCAGGAGTCAAGCAGAGCACGGACAGGAACTTCCAGCACCCGTGTCCCCCCCTTTTCTGTCCCCTCCCTCATCACGACTTCCCTGGCTGGCCCCACGTCCTGACTCTCCTTACCTGGTTCCACCTGGTCGGGTTCATGCCGAGCGTCTGTGGAGTCTGCTGCATCACTGCTCATCTTGATCTCTGCAAAAGGAGGCACAACTGATTTTAATAACAGGTCACAGTCCCAGGCAACAGGCGCATGTGGCTTCCACTAAACAGCACAAATGAATGTGTAATTATAATAAACCATCAGACTTTCAAATTTCTGATTCCTCAACATAGTCACTAGAATATTCATCAGCTCCGAGGACGCACTTTCCCTCCTGTTGCTCTTCGCATCCCCCTCACTCCTTTCCCCCCGCCTCAATTTGCTGTTGTGTTCCTCACCTTTTGCATCATTCGTTTCCCATGCAGAGCACGAGGGCAAGGAGCCCTCCCAGGCCTCCCTGGCCTCTCCCCAGGGCTTTAGGCAGGCTTCCCCAACTAGCTCGCTGGTGCAGCTCCCACTTCGAGGCTTCACCAGGACACTGTCCCCCACTGACACACCTTTAGCGGCCGGGGAGCCCTCCCATCTTCCCCGGCCTCCCACATCCTTTCCTTTGCCTTAGGGATGGCCCAGCCAGGACAGTAAAAGCACGCACCACAAGGACCATCCTCAGAGAGGCAGGCGCAGAACAAGATGTGCTCAGAGGGGAAAGCAAGGTCTCAGCTTCTCTCACTCCCTTTCAAACTCAGCTTGTTTCGCTCGGTACATCTGATCCTGTTTTGCAGACTATTTACCCTGCTCTCTCCCTCGAGCCTGTGCTCACACCTCTCTCCCACCATGAAGAAGCTGCCTTGCTCCAGAGCACTGTCCCCAGCCCAGGAGCAAGCAATGCACCCTGCCGCCAAGCTCCAGCGTATCTCCTCCCATCCTTATCAATGCCAAAAAAAAATTGTCATTTACCCTTGAAGTGATGGCTGCCACCACACCCGGGGCCACGCTCGCCTTCGGGGACAGCTGCAAGAAAAGGGTGGGAATAGTCAACTTTACACAGATTGCTCCTCTCCTCCCTAAAAGAGCCAAAGTGCACACTCAGTTAAAGAAGGAAGAATATTCAAATTCAGATGGACACCCCTTCACCCTCTTCTCCCCTTTGTCTGGGAATTTTAACTCTTTCCAGCCAAGTTGGAAGGAAAAAAAAAAAGATAATAACAATTTTTTTTATAAAGAACCAACTGACTGATTTGCATGTGCTTCCTGCAGCCAATCCCTGCCACAGAAGTCATCCGATTTGCATCGGCTAATAACAACAGTGTGGAAGCTGGGCGAGTGTTTGCTGTGGTTTTACTGGGGCAGCAAAGGCAGGTGGAAGCCTTCTTAAAGGCATCATGCAACCCTTTTCCTCTTTCCAACATGCATCTTGTATTATTCCCGTGTGGCCAAAAGGGAGAGAAGAAATCTATAGGTTATTATAGCTATTTCCCTCTATTGCTCACACTAAAGCAGGCAGACCGTGTTTTTTCCTGTTGAAACTTCCAGTGTGCAAATGGAAATTCCCCTATTCTTTGGTCCAAAGTGAATAACTTTGTTTAGTTTGAAGATTTAAACTTTTTCCCCAGCAAATGAGTAGAAAAAGAAAAAAAGACAAGGTTTAATACTAAAGAAGGAGTGCAGAAGCTTTCACATACTTTAGAAACTTTCTTTTGTTCAATTGTATTAAGGAGGGAGGAAAAAAAGGAGATAGAAAACAATTTCTTTTGAAGTAGTCCCTCTCCAATTAAGCCACGAACATTTAATGGGGCTTCTAAGCACTTCTACTGTAGTAAAGAGTAATTATCAGCAGCTATAAACATCTAGTTATCTTGTAATATTGCCAAAGGACCCTAACCTAGGCAATCTACAAAGCACAAAGCTTTGCTTGTTGCCAAAAAGAATCTTACAAAAAGCCAAGTTCTCATCAAATAAAATAAGAAAGTTTTAAGCCATACAGAAGTTTGATGTTGGCTTTAGTTAGAAAGTCTGCAAGTTTAGAAGAATTTAATATAGATTTCATTGTGGGCACCTGAGTCAACGAATGAATGTATGTGTTATTAAAAAAAAAATGTTGTGAGTAGTTTTTATCAAATCCCCGAGACCAACGAACACCCGAAGGACACAACGCAAGCAGTAGGACACTCGCTCCCTTGCGGACTGCTTGCACCAGGAGGCAGAGGAGCAGCTCCTGCTGGCCCCGGCCCCGAGCGAGGCCCTGCAGAGCGGCGGAGAAAGGGGCCATGGGAAAGCGGGCTCCCAGGGTCCGGCCCTCCCTGCCCCACCACCGAGGGCAGCAAGCCTCACGCTTCAGGAAGGCGGTAACCCAAAGGTGCCCCACGCACTTGGCGTGAGCTGTACAGCACCCTAAGGACCCCTGTGCTTGAATGCCAGGCCCCTCTCGCCCCGTCAGGGCCGGAGCTTAGCCACAACCCTGTGGCTGTAGCAAACCTAAACCTGCTCCTGCTCCTGCTCCTGCTCCTGCTCCTGCTCCTGCTCCTGCTCCTGCTCCTGCTCCTGCTGCCGCTGCAGCAGGGGGGAGCCATCAGCCCCTCTGCTCGTTATAACCTGAGCGGGCAGGAGCGGAGCGACCGCAGCTGCAGCCTGATTGCACATCATACGCTATCCATGGCCTCTAAATTCCTGGAGTCAGGAGCTAAGAAAAAAAAAACCTGTGATTCTCTCATACGCATGAAGTGAGATAAAGTAGTGCAGGGCAAGAGCTGCATCTTCAGAAAGATTCGAATTCCCCTCATAAAAATACACAAGTTATTATAGCTTAAATATCTTGCATTAAAAAAAAAATAGGAAGAAAAAGAGAACCCTTTTGATCAAACCCTATTGATCCAAGTGGTTTTGGGCTGACCAGGTTTTGAACTCCTAGGGGTAGCAAACTGCAGAAGTCATCCTCCAGGGGGGTCTTTGAGAGCAAGGAGCAGCTATACAAGGGAAAGACTGTCCGATATGATATAAATGCGGCCAAGATAAAGGAAACACCTTTTGTTTTGAGACCAAAGAGCCCTCTGCTATAAACGGGGGAGAGAGCGATAAAGCCCAGCTGGATGTGAACCCCTCACATCCAACAATTTCTCAAGACAAAACATGCTGCAAGACTTCAGGTCCAACTGAATGCTGGCTCCTACCATACAGCTTTGCGAGGCAGCCAATATAGAGAGAATAAGCAGGCTAATGAAAAATAATCTCTGGGGAAAATAATGCAACTTAGACCTGCCTAACTGCCAACCACAGACCTATTAGGAGCTGCCACTGTGGCCTAGTCCTTATTAAACATGTGCTGCTGTACCTGAGCTAGCAAACAGGCCTGGAACAGGGGTAGTCTGGTTTCTTCACCCAGACCAAAGAGACTATACCAGTGCAGACACTTCTCTGAGGATGTATCTGCATCTGTATTTTGGCTGAAACAAATGGTGTCAGCAAATAAAGTTTTCCCAAGCCCTTATTCCTAGTAGCTGTTCTGACATGGGCACTGAGGTCAACCAGCCTGATGACTTCAAAGAAATGAAAACCAGCGGTGGTAGCGGGGCGGGGGGAAATCAGGTTGGCTGAGACCATGACCCGGACCCTGCTGAGCTTGGCTGCACCCTTGGTGCCAGAGCCCCTCCGGAGGCTGCAGGAAGCCAGAACGTGCCAGGTGCCTGGGGAGGAGGCGGTGGTACGCGCCGGGAACGCTGTGCTGCCAGCCTGATGACTTCAAAGAAATGAAAACCAGCGGTGGTAGCGGGGCGGGGGGAAATCAGGTTGGCTGAGACCATGACCCGGACCCTGCTGAGCTTGGCTGCACCCTTGGTGCCAGAGCCCCTCCGGAGGCTGCAGGAAGCCAGAACGTGCCAGGTGCCTGGGGAGGAGGCGGTGGTACGCGCCGGGAACGCTGTGCTGCTGGAAGCGCTCTTGCCGGGGAGGAGCGCCTGCAGAGCCCAAACCGCCGGCGTTC